AGGGGGGGGTCCCCCCTGCCCACCCGCAACCCGGGTCTTCCCCCTTTGGCAGCAGGATTATAAAGCTATAGGTATGTGTACGTGTACATGTATGTATGCACGCACGCGCGCACATGTTCAAGTAGAGTCACTCTTTGCAAAGAAAGTCGTCACGGCTTGGTATCGGATTAGAGAGTGTTAGAGCATTTCGTTTGGCCACATCCAGCCCTGTTAGCAGCTGCATTGTTCTTACTAAGGCACAATTTATAGATATATTTTTTTACACAGGGAATCTATTAAGACAGCTCGGTTGTTTCGGCAAAGAACCAGCGCAGCAGTCCAGCCTTGCAAACAGCCACCTCGGCTGCCCCGGGCTGTCACTCTGCAATGTCCTTTCCCATCTTGCTGAGCTTTGTTGGGGCACCAGCAAAGCTAGTTCCCGCTTCCTTCTTCTGTTTTGTTTCCCTGTAAGCCCTGGCAGTGAGGCACATGGGGTTGAGGTCCTCGTCCCTCACAGCACCCCAATTCAGGCTTCTGGGGATCGAGTTCCTGTCTCCACGAGCAGAGGGAGTTACCTCTGTTTTGCGTTGAGAGATACAACTGGGCTTATTGGCTGAGTACCAGCTGCTCAACTGGTTGTCCAACTCATCCAACTATGTGCATGGATAAATTAGCAAGTAACAGGCATGGGTTGACTTAGTGAGAAGGAGGGTGTCCTTTCCAGAAGCATTCCCCATTTCGTTGGTCCTTTTCTCATCAGTCAGAAGCCAATGTTTCACTGATTTCAGTGGGAGAGCTAGACCCACTGCCATATCTTTTAAAAAATCCCATCAGAAGCTTTATTTATTCTCCAGCATCACGGAGGAAGCAGTGATGACTTACAGCATAGTCAGTCAAATATGTTCTTGGAAATAGAAGATGAAAGTATTAGGTAAATAACAGAAATGTAATGCTATTAGGGAATATGTTGCCATATAAAAAACAACTGTCTATTGAAAATGAACCCCAGGACAACACACTTTAGCAGCTTTAGGAATGATCTGGACTATTTTAGTGATGGAAACCCATCTGAAATACTCCAGTCTTTGTTGGTCCAGGCACAGTCCTCAGCAAACGTAAATCTGCTGAGTACTGTTTGTGCCAATAAGGTCATGCCAAGCTGAAGGTCTGGCCTCAGTAATTTTTTGCTGAGAAAAGTATTAAAGAAAAAAAATAAATTGAAATAAACAGCAATGATGGGAAAGAAGTGCAGGTCACCCCAACAGCTTAATGAAGCTTTGCCGGTGCTGATTTGCTGGCTGTTGGCTGAAAGGTATCAGCAGTTCTTTGCAGCTCAGTGCTTGGTAATAACCCCTCCAGTTTGGGTCACGTCCCCCTGTGCTGCCAGGTTGAGGGTGTCAAGACACAATGCCCATGGGAGAAGTATTTCAATTTGCTGCTTTGTTTGAAAATAGCATGATGGCGGGTATTCCAAGACATTGAGTGGTAGAGCCAAGCTTGAGGGATCAAAGCACACACACAAGTGCAGAGTGCACACTTCCGAGGCTGTCACTATTGCCAAACTCTCCGCTGTTCAAATGACTATAAAATAAAATTATATATAGCTTGCTGAAGGAATGGAGTTGCGTCAATGTGATTGGAGTGCTTTCTTCTCCTTGCATTTCTCTTCAGAGCAGCTCCAGGGACCTGTCAGTGTGTCAGCGATATCAAAGGCAGAGGGGAAAAGCAGAAAGTGAGAGCTTCCCACCCTGGGATATGGTTTATAGGATTTCCACCCCCGCTCCCCTTATCATCCCAGTCACATGCCACACGCGGGATACAGGCAGGGAATCCTTTTATAAGCAAATAAGATTTCCTTCCTCCCCGTCTCTTGCTGCTGGGAAATGTCACTCTGAAATACAAGCCAATGCAGAAGAAAGGTCCTTCCCTCAACTCTGTTTGGCAGTGGTAGCAGTGCTGGGGAGGTGGCACCTCAGGTCCCAACATGGAGCCAGCACTTTCCGGGCTGCCTCCCACTTCCTCTGCAACAAGCAGAGCTGCAGTGGCACCGAGCATCCCTTTCCTTCCCTCGCCAAGGTGGTGACAACTTCTCCCTCCTCATCCTCTTCAGCATCCCACAAAGGAGACAAGACCATACATGAACAAGCCAGTGCTCCACACCAGTCTGGGAGCTTTCAACTGCTGCAGAACCGCATGTGAAATTAGGTCTCTCTTGCACAAGAGGACAGCCCTTGGCAGACTCTGCGCCCTGATCCTGAATGTTTCCAAGGCTCTTTGCTGTGGGTCACAGTTACACCCTACAAGCCAGCTTGTCTCAATAGAAATCCTCTAGTTCCCTTGGCAGACGATCCCTCCATGTTTTGAGATATACATGAATGCAAAGCAGCAACGCCAGCAGCGTTGCTGGCTTTGATCCTGACTGGTCATAAACCACAAGGTCGTAAAAAACAAATGTGTGGTCAGAGAAATAAACAGGGGGCTTTTATGGGTGTCCAGGAATTAACGAGGGGCACTGCGAAAGCCACAGACCCTGGCGATGCTGAGCTTTGGGGAAAATGTGGGTGCCGTAGCTGGACCATCTCTCTGCATGGAGTGCAAATCTGAAAAACAGCCATGGAGATCAATGCCAAAGGATATTCCCAGAGAGGACATTAAGGAGTCAATCTGTCAAAATCTAGAGAATAACGAGTTGCTCTCAGCAGATTTCTTGCTCGTATCTCTCTTGTGCTCTATTTTCACATAGCTACACTCCTGCCAACACCGTTCTTCACAGATGTTTTGTTCTTCTGAAGCTGGGAGGAGTGCGGGGAAGGGGTGGCTTTGCTCCTGCCCTATTTGTTGGACCCAGGATGCCAAAACTGACCTTGCAGCTTCAGGCTTCCATTTATGAGTTTAATATTTTTTTCTACATGTTTCTTCTTACTGTACATTATGAACTACCAATTTTATTTTAAAAGCCAATGAAAAAGAAATTCTGGAAGAGTCCTCATCCTTGCTTGCCACAGTACTCTTTTTTTTTCTTTGTTTGTGGCCAACCCCGCATTTTGTGCTCACAGGGAATGCCAGGGTAGAGGGGTTGAATGGGGGACACTGGCTGCCTCCACTCCAGCATGGCCCAATGGGAACTGTCCAGAGCAGATGGGGTCTATCTTCTGGGGTCTGGGACAAGCATCACTTCTTTGATCTTCTATTAAATCTTTTTGGCATTCAAGCCAGAGAAGAACATCTGCTGTCCACAAAGTGCAGCCTCAACCAAAGGCATGCAGACTAATGGAAAGAAACCTCAGCTCTTCCCCAAGAAAAAGAAATGTGGAAGTGATCATGTCTGAACCAATGCATTGCAATGCCTGCAATCTCAAATGAACCTCATCTTATTAAAACAGGAGATGTTGTGCAAGATCTCGTGCCACTGATCACGCCGCTCAGCTGTCTGCAGCTCTGTAACACAGCAGAGGAAAGATGAAACATGAAATGTGCATGTATTCATATAAACAAAAGAAGAACGGTTACTGGGTGAGCCCACAGAAAGCGTTACCCCAGCACTACACCATCCACAGCTGACTTCAGTAGAGCTACGCTAATCCACCCAACTGGTTGCCCTGACCCTAAATCACCAAGGTCTTGAAGTACAGGCAAAGGACCAAATGGTTAAAATAAAATGGGTAACCATAAAATGGTTAATACCTTTCTGAACTACCCCTCTGAGCAAGGGACAGAATAGCACACTACTAACACACATCTCCACCCCAGCTGGCAGCCAGCTTGCTTTTGGCTTCGGTCAGTAAAAGGGGCAAGTAGGCAAAGGTGGGTAAGAATTTGGGAGTCACAAGCCAAAAGTTTGTTTTGAACCTTGAACACTTTTGTGGGACTCGATCCTTAGCAGTCCCAGCTAAAATCAGATCAAGAGAGTTCAGTGACATGGGAGAAGGACCCAAGCAGAGAGAGGGAGAAAATTCACACTCGGAACAAGCAACCTCACCCATGCCTTGGCTTCCTGCACCTGTCCGCTCAGCCTGGGGGTTATTCAGACCAGAGTCTCTCACCCTGCCAGATGTAGCCTCTCCCCAATATCTTTTGCAAAGAGCAGCTCCCAAACACTTCTGCTCCTGCCTACCCCAAGGGGAAGGCACTTCCCACCTCTGGCTGTGGGATGAGACCATCAGTAGGATGCACCTCAAAAGGGAAGGAGCACCTCCACCTCTGCACCACTGAGCCTTCTTATTCCTATAGGCTTTACTGTTTGGTCCTGCTCCTATGTGCCTCACTTCAGTACCTGACTTCTCAGTCTCTCCTTTTGCAAATAAAATAAAAAAATAAATTAAAGTTACATTTCTCCAGCTCAGAAGCTGCCATAGGCAGGGAAGAAACACAGATCTGTGAGGATCAGCAAACAGGGGTAAGCCAAACGACCACTGGGGTCACTACACTACTGGAGAGCATAAAAATAACCTCCTTGGAGTAGAAGATAAAGCAGGGGATGAGAGAATATCAAACCATGGTGTACAGAAAGAAAAAAATAGTGCTTTATTCCCTAACAACATCCAAAAGTATCTCCAGTTTAGAAGTACCTGGAGGGAATCCACAGGTAACAGCTGGGGACCGTTGCAAATACAGTCGAAAACAAAATCACAAACCTGACTGGACATGGCTCTGGACAACCTGCTCCATGAGACCTTGCTCTGAGCAGGAGGTGGGACCAGGCGATCTCCAGAGGTCCCTGCCAACCTCAGCTAGTCTGTGCAGACATAGACACTGAGCAAGGGGTCCTGCCTAAGTAACTCAGTCCTCTTCTACAGTCACAGGAGAAAAACAGGCATCTCAGGGGGAGACTGATGACCTTGGACACCTGATGGATGAGCTGTCATGTACAAGCCTTCCTACAGAGAAAGGTTATCAAGAAAGCCAATAAAATAATCTCTAGTGGGATGTGATTTCTGCACTGTAATGTTGCCAAAGCTCCAGATACTAGGTCTTGCTGCTCTGCCAAGT